AGTTTCCTGATAGGAGGCAAGGGCGTCCCTTGCACGGTCCTGATTCTCCGCAGGGGATGCTTGGAGGAAGGGTCACCCACTCTGGGCCCTATTTTGCTCCCAGATCAATACGGCCGTCTTTGTTTGCTACTTCTGCAACTGCTTCTGCTGGGGCCGGAGGATATCACGCATCATTGCAAGCAGGGTAATGATCGGGCCGTTTTCTCCCTCCATCTATTTACATCTTGCTCATTTTTTCCTTCTGTCTCTCCTGTGACTGTTCATATATAGGCTTTGTGGCTACAGATCCAACTAAATTGACGTTAGCCAGTTGTAAAGGACTTGAATAGATGTCCAAGTTCTAACTGGAGAAATGCAATTTAGGAATCACACTAATATTTCTTCTTTTTTTTTTTTTTTCCAGTTTTGTCAGGATGAGCCTCTTACTGTCCCTTGAAATCATCTGCATTTTCCTGTTCTGCCAAGGTACATTTTAACATTGTCTTTTCATCCCAGTGGGACTCAGAGTCTGACTTCAGCGGGGGCATCAGGGTCAAAATTGGTTGCTCATTCCAAGGCTAAGTTAAAAAAAACAAAATTCACTGACGCCAATTTAAAGTTTCCACCCAAACAAATGAGATCAGATTACGGAAGAATGCAAAGTTGTGCTTTTGGAGACGCATGCCTATATATCTTTCCTATGTGATTATATGACTTGCCTTTCAGAAGAAGTAACTAAGATCTGTGAATGAGGTCAAACTATTTTCCAGCTATTCCTCTTCAGAGTTTGGCAGTAGATCCAACGTCTGGGGAAGAGGCAGTTGGTCGTGAATGGGCTCCACGTAGGAGCCAGGCCTTCTAAGTCTTATTACCTGGTATAATGTTGAGCGTTGCCAGTTCTCCCATCGGCTTGAGTAGGATTTGAAATGACGGGCTACACCTTGTACGAAGATTAGGTTTTAGGCAGAGATGTTCCTTGACTTTATTATTCAACTCTGTTCATATGAAGGCCCCAGCGCATGCTGGAGCAAGCGTTTGGTTCTCCAGGGTATGAGCATATTCAGTGAAATCAGCTGTTATTTTAATATGAAGTCATACAGCCTGACCTAACAGCTATTACCATCAGTGGAAAGATTCCCTGGGATGAGGTTTTCAAGGAGGACAGCACATCAGCTGTCCCATGGAAAGGTGAGACTGGCATGGTGGGACCTTGATGGAAATGGCTTAAAAGAAAGGTCTCATTCTGGCGATAGTAAACTGAATGTCCCAGTCAGGTTTGGACTTGAGGAGCTAACTCCACGTACACATTATAGTTTCATAGTTGGTCGGGTCGGAAGGGACCTGA